TTTTTTTTTTTTTTTTAAATCGATCAATTAACATTCAGTATCGTTGGTTCAACGATTATTTACATTTGTTTGATTGTAAATAATCTGTAGTTGTGTTGATCTTCATGAAATAGTCACAAAATTATAATTTCCGAAAAATAGAAATATTGATTCTATGAAGTCAACAGTTATTTATAGACATTCACTAATGGACATGCCTTAGCGGTCAGAATTGTGGTACAACAAAAGAAAGAGATGGAACGAAGTTTCGGACAATATCCATCTCTCTCACGATAGTGCGTATGCGTGTCATGAAAGAAATAGCACTAGTCCGAAACCATACGCCATCTCTCTTATTTTTCCAGCCAAGAAATTATTATAACGACATATGCCTAAGACACGTCCATTAATATATATCTATGGCGCCAACGACCAATACTTCTATGGTTGAAGGTAGTACTTATGAAATAACATAGATAGGAAATGTTTGCTTAACCTAATTATTATAATCTGCGAACAGAACTTAACCTACTCGTTATTTATATAAATTATTACAACAATTTTAAATATAAACATTAACAAATAATAGAATATGAAGTTAAGAAACGGTACGGTAGTGATTATATATTTTGTATGTATGATAATGGTTATATTTTTATACTTACAGAACTATTAAGTATATTGGAAAATAAAAATGAATCCTTTGGTAATCGCCTCAAACTAGCCGACACCATTATAAGAATCCCGGAAAAATTGTTAGAGGACGAAGAATCTATTATTATCAGATGGCTTTTAAATGAAATAAATCACGAAAGCCCTGAATCATGGGAAATATTACTTTCTTGGTTAACATCAGAAAAGTTGAACTGTGTGTTTAATGCTAATTCTATAACTTTGAATCTTCTTATACAAGTAGGTGTCTATCATAGTATAAATGAATTATTATTGATTAGTATTTTTTTAGGCTATTTTAATTAATATACAGAAAGTTAACAGCCATCTCAAAGAAACATTGATAAGTATTTCTTTGTTAATTCTAGAAAACAATGTCCCTCAAAGTTTTATCAAGTCAAACATAAGTGATTATTGCTGTTTTCTGTTTACAGTTATAAATGAGATAGATAATCCACTATCTTTAGCAAAATTTTTGGATAAAGATATTTTATACAACAAAAATGTTGTTACCAACAATACTTTCATATTATATTTTGTCAATAGTGGAATAAGTATTTTAACAAAAGTTAGAAAAAAATTTTGTGGTAATCAAAATGTTTGCAGAAGTATTTCAACATTCATCGAAAAGGTATATTGGATACTTTACAAAGAAATAATGCAAATTTGTCTGCTGCTGTAACAGCTTGGAGCTAAATTTAAAGAAACTGATTTAAATAGTAGCCAAATGTCGAAGTTTCGAAAGAGATATAAGCAAGCAATGACCCCCAGTCACTTTTTGGCATTTTTATTAGACCCAACCTAAACAGAATTCACACTGACAGATGAAAAAGAAGAAAGTGCGTTGGAGGAAGCGCGAAATCACTATGATGGTTCAGTTTTGCTACCATTGATAGTAAAGCTTAAGTCAAAATCAAAACCATTCAAAAGTGTGATGTTCGCAGAAGAAATAGTAAAAAATGTGACACCACTAGAGACCCACCACTCTAGAAAAATATATTAGTGAAGAGGAACAGTCAAAAATTTTTCCAGTGGTGAAGCAATTGTTTGGCGCGATAGCTTCTTCAGCTGCTGTGGAGTGTTTTCCACTTTTGGAATTGTTCAGAGCAAATTGAGAAACCGACTGGGAATTGAAAACTAGTTCTTTTATTCAAATATTATAATANATATTATTTATTAATAATGATTAAAAATAGCACTAAATTTTTCAATGGCATTAGTATGGTCATATTATTATACTGTTCGTGGGTTTAACAAAATTAACTTTTTCAACGGTCAATTTATTTCTTCTTCTTTCGGCGATCGTCTCTTCCTCTAAATACTCTTGTTTACTTTCGGGAAACTTCTTTAAACATTCGGATAATTAATTTTTTCTTTGAATTGTTTAACTGCTTTCTCATAACACAGGTACGACATACACATTTACAAATACGGCGCACATGAAGAAAGGCGCCCGCGGCTAGTCGGCGAATCGATAACCCGTTCGCGCACGTAAATGCTCGATCACATACAAACACACTCATGCTCGCTACATTATCTATGATTCACCCATGATTCACCAATGGCTCATGCGTATTAGTAATATCAATGGAAAAATAGTAGAAACTGTCTATGTATGATATGCAATTATTACTAATAAATAATATTAAAGATAAATTCCGCTAACCATATAGATTATTGTTCAAGCACAAATGCCACGCAATTAATCGGCTTCAATTAAATTATCATATTTCAGTACTTTTTGAATAAATTAATATTTAATTTCCACCTGCACCTGAATTAGTTTTCTTTTTTTTTAACAATACTAATGGACGCACAATTATGACACTGACAGGTTCAGAGCTCGCAAACGACGCACAATTTATTTGTAAACTTTAAATCAGAGGATTATTTACATCAGGTGCCAGTTTCACAGGACTCCTACCATGACATAACCATTACCTAATTGTTATTAGTATATGACCAGGTCTGAAAAGTTAGCCTCCAAGAAACATTTTTTTTTTTAATCTTTCTTATTTTAAGTAACTCTAATCGTTTGTTTGTCAGAAATAATAGTTTGTCTTTCGTTTATTTATAAAAAATTAAACAAATTTT